TTGTTTTCAATTTAGACTTTTATATATTTTTTCGTTTGGGCTGGTATTATATTTTCCTTCGGGTTTATATGATCCGTTCATCCTATTTCGACTCTTTAAAATTCAAGAGTCTTTCCAAAATTGAGGTAAATGATATGGCCTTCCAAATACCGTTTCGATCCCTAACATCACTGAAGAGACATTAATTGTCGAAATCCGGATATGGTGTACAAATTTTTGCACCTCATGTTTGTGGTATACCATCTTTTCCACAAGTTTATTGTTTTCTATTTGGTATTAAATTAATATTAAGATCCATTTTGTTACATCTGGTGATCAATTTATTTGGCAATCGCCAATGGCAGTCAGCAGGGTTTAAGAACATCAGTTGTTCGACCTGTTAGTCAAATGCATTTTGTTAAAATAGACTTTTTCACTTTTTTTGGTCTTTTGGAAATTGTTGTTTGTGCTGTATTTAGACCCCTCTACCAAGAAATTTGTTTTACATGCACACGTATAAAAATTGCGGTTTTTATCCAACGCAATCATAGGTTTGAACGTTGTTTTCAATTTAGACTTTTATATATATATATATATATATATATATATAAATTCAGCTGTAAAATTATGGTAATGATGAAGTGGGAAATCAAATCTAATAGGATGGTAAGTATACTTTCATTTTGCATTAATCCCGCACGGGGCAGGTGCACTCGACTTCGATCTTAATTGACTAGGATTGACAGTTTTCCTACCGAAGGTCGGTGGTTCTCTACAGGCACTCGGGATTCCTCCACCAATAAATACTGACTGCCACGCAGTAGCACAACAGTGTTGAAAGTGGCGTTAAATACCAATCAATCAATCAATCATTTTGCATTTACATAAGTACCACTGATGACTTGACTCTCCTGGACAATGCAGTAAAATATCAGTTAAACATAATGATTTGATGACACAAATTGCAATTCTGTCAAAATGTTTAGTGAATTGTAATAGGTTTGAGTGAAACACTTGCATTCATAGTCAGTGATATTATTTGGTGAAGCACTTCCTAATAAGAAGGGAAAAAACGAAAAAAATAGCTTAGCTTACAAATTCATGCACCAATCCATCAAAGCAAATTTAAAATTTTGGTGAAAAGCATTGTAAACTTTTATCAATGTGAACAGGATACTATACAGTTGCAGTGAATTCATTGTTGAAGGGTTAACTATATTATCTTTTTATTAGTGTTTCATCATATGCCAATTTTAACACAATAGCACACTATTCCATCATACTTTTCAATGAGTAAATGAACCAAAAAAGCTAGCATAATCCTTTAACACATGCATATTTATACTACTAAAATAACGAGGTCCAATTTGTTAGCCGGCATAACGTAAAAACGACGAATCAAAGAATTCAACTTTATATATAACTAATATAGGACAATGGTGTTGTTTTAAAATTACACCATTCCAGGAGAAAACCAGGACGGGTTCCAACAGAAAGATTTTAAAAACAGAGAAAACTATTACAAGAAGCTTGACTTTATCCGATCACTATACGAATACTAAAAATCCAGGCTAAAAATAAGGCATAGGTACTTTAATTCAGTCACGGACCCGCGTGTTCTAGTATAGTATAAATATCCAAGCTGATACAATATTCCAGGAATTATACTTTTTACTTTGAGGATAGCTGCTTACTATTCAACCATTGGTTAAAGGCAAAGTCAAAGTCAACACGTACACAATCATGATATGGTGCATTCTCCGCTTTTGAACCCATGATTCCAGTAAGATCCTTATTCCTTGTTATGGTCAGATAGTTCAACAGTGGAAACTGTAATAGCGAATAGTGATGAAGTTCCACATATTTATTTGTAACTCCCTGGTAAATGTGTTTCCTCCCAGCTGTCAAAAGATGACATAACGCCATGAAGTATCCAGAGTCCTTTAAAGCTTAGATTAGAAATAAAAGGCCACTTGAACTATGTGAACACAACGAAAATATGAATAGTTTAATGAATTTAAGACTGGGTTTGCTCCTGCCCCCTAAACATGCTGTCAAACTAAAGTGATATGGGCTTTGCAGATTGAAGTCAGTTGAGGAGCATATAGAGGGGCTATTTAGAGACATAGAAAGCAAATGATAAATGTTTTAGGCCTCGCAACATAAATAATATCTCATACGGATGCAAAATCAAATTATGTAATTTGATAACCGAAATAAACGACTGTCATACAAGTGAGAGGTTTAGCTAGCTCTAAAACCGGGTCCAACCTACTATTTTCTAATAAAGAAATGTCTGTACCAAGTAAGGAATATGACAGTTATTTTCCATTCGTTTGATGTGTTTGAGCTTTTGATTTTGCCATTTTAGGGATTTTCCATTTTGAATTTTCCTTGGAGCTTTTGTTATTTTACTTTTTATAATTTTGCGTCTGGCATACAAAATGTTAATCCTGGTATCTATGATGAGTTTTTTTTACGTGTAATTGGTCGAGACATTTTTATATGATCGATATTTCAACTTCATGTGACCTATCTTATTATGAGAAGAGATGAGTTATTTAGGGGGCAATATATGTAATAATCTATGGAGTTTTGTTATTGTGTAAATATTTTCAGACACACTGAAATGTCTTATCGTTAGAGAGCTTACCCTTCCGGAGCACCTGAGATCACCCCCAGTTTTTGGTGGGGTTCGTGTTGCTCAGTCTTTTGTTTTCTATGTTTTGTGTACTGTTGTTTGTCTGTTGATCTTTATCATTTTTAGCCATGGTGTTGTCAGTTTATTTTCGTCTTATAAGTTTGAATGTCCCTTTGGTATCTTTCGCCTTTCTTTTAGGTAAACTAGGATTTTATAGAACGTATTATTAAATTTTTAATGCTAGTACACCATATGGAAACAATTATTTCTAGAATGGGAAAATCAGGATATTTAAGAGAAAGTACTAGTATGGGATTGTAATTGTTCTTTCTATTCCGTTGACAGTACTTAATGAATTTTTCGACTATATATAATAGTCTTCTTCAATAACTTTATTTACACAAATATGGAACTATTATACTAACATAATAGTCCCAGATCAAATGGTCGTTTGAAATTATATTTTCTGCAACCTATTTAAAGGGTTCTACTGTCACGGAAAAGATAAATATGCAAGATATAATAACTATAGCTTTCATTCACAGGCACTTTTGTTGTTTGAATCATTCGCAGCAAGCCTCCCGAAGTATGGCATCCGTAATTATTTCGTTTACCCACAGCCGATTGGAAATAAATATTTCTTGGAGTTATCTCATTTTATTTTAAGTCCAGAGAGAGTCTGAATGATAACGATGGAATAGAAAATATTTGAGTCTAAAAATAGAAACTCATAACTCATTAGACATACCTCAAATAACACTTGCTAGATTTTTTTCCCGGAATCTTTTACAAGTTTGCATTTAATGGATGATAAGTTCTATTCAGACGAAAACTAACAGGTTTTTATGCCCCATTTATGGGCATTATGTTTTTCGGTCTGTGCGTCCGTTCGTCCGTTCTTCCGTTCGTCCGTCCGTCTGTCTGTTTCGCCTCAGGTTAAAGTTTTCGGTTAAAGTTTTTGGTCAAGGTAGTTTGAGGTGAAGTTGAAGTCCAATCAACTTGAAACTTAGTACACATGTTTCCTATGATATGATCTTTCTAATCTGACTGCCAAATTAGAGTTTTGACCCCAATTTTACGGTCCAATGAACATAGAAAATGATAGCTCGAGTGGGGCATCCGTGTACTATGGACACATTCTTGTTTGGAAATACTTTTTATAATTAAAAAATTTACTGCGTATCTTATATTTCCAATCGGCTGTGGGTAGACGACATAATTACGGTTGAAATACTTGAGGAGGTCTGCTACGCCTGAATTTAATTCAACAGGAAAAAATAATAACATTAACCGTTTACTTCATGATATTTTTGCTTCAATTATTTATCACATGGAAAAAAATTACCAAGCACAACAGTAATTGTCCTTTTCTTGGTTTGGATATTTCTGCTGCAAGGGAAACCTTTTAGGGAAAACGGTAGTATTTATTCTTCCATAGGCGACAATACTAACATTTTCTAAATTTACAACTTTTTATAATAAAAACCTGGAGAAAACAGTGATGTGTGGTTTTAGTACTTTATTATTCTGTTTTAGAAATTGAAGTCAAATAGTATCATAACCAACTTCCAACGGAGATTGTTTATGGTATCCATGCCCACCGTCATTTTACATTAAATTTATGAAAATGTGGATGTCCTTCGAATAATTCTCAAGAAAATATTTCAATGGGTTTCAAAATTTATATTGCAAAAATACACACTGCAGTAATTCATGAATAAATAAAAAAATATATTATACCCTTACATCCAATCACAGCGCTCCTAAGTTGACTTCCTTCATTTGCCTTTGGGTACACAAAAGGCCAACCTAAGCCTGGGAAAATATAATACTATTTTTTTTCCCTTTATTAGAACTACGACACGTGACACAAAGTTTTGTTTCCTCTTGACATCTTCCGGAGTATAAATTTCCCTATTTGATTTCAATAAATCAAGTATATATATATATTGATTGTATGCTTCTAAAAATAGAATAGCATCCTGCAATTATACTATTAAAAGAGATGAGAAGATGATAATTCCTGTACACTTAAAAATAATTCCTGTATTGTGATTACTTAAATCCTTTAGAAGATACTTTCAAAGATATAAATATTTGAATGTTTATTACTTTTAATATTATTTTAATCCTTTTTCGTGAATATTTCGTTTTTTTTTGTTGTTTAATACCGAGCTGACTTTACGAGTAGTTCTAATATTATACTGTAACACAATTGGTAAATGCTATGGTGTTTAGTACTACAACTATGCTTAACATGCCACATTCTTTATGTGTCTGTTCCAGACCTGGATTATTTATAGTCCAGTGGTTGTTGTTTAAAATACATAAATACATGTTTGAAAATACCTAACATGATAATTGAGATGAAATAATGAACTAAATTTTGTTATGAATTTATTAAGCCTATACGTCCATGTGACTGATAATAAAGCATTGGCTACAAACTATCACTGAATACAAAAGTTTCAACCTGATATCAGACTGGAAGTTGAAATCTTAATAGTTTAATTATGTCTGTGTATGTTTCAGCTCAAATTTGATATCTGACAGCCAGTACACTCCTTTACTCTCCTCGTTCAGTACAATAGTAATTGTATTATTTTCATCTTTCAAAAGGTGCACTGGAATGTCAAACGTCTGCTCACCAAAGTTATCCCGTTCTGCCTCGCTATAGCCTTCACGGAAGATTCTGCCATTAATCATAATATCAATTATTCCATTGCCGCTTGTTTTACAATGATTCAAAGTCATGTCCAATTTAAGGACCCGACAGTTACTTGGTATCTTTAGAGTGAGAATAGCTGAACTCACGCCTGGTGTTCCAAACAATTTATATGGTCGTCCACGACGGTATGTGTCTGTAGTTTCTACAGCAGTGTATTCGAATGAATTACTATAGTCTTGGTTTGTATCAAAGTGGCAAACCATTACTGAAACTAAAATTATTTTAGTTATTCATTTAAAAAAATTTCGGAACAATAACATAATAGTTTGATAACTATTTAAAAAAAAAGGTTTAGAACAAATAAATGGTTTAATGTCATTATGATGTAACAATTCATATTGTATTTCAACATTTTATACTAGAGTGCCTGGTAATAGGTGTCTATTTTAGAAACTTTATACAAAACAGAAAGTCATCGAATAATACGTATGTAAAATATTTAGCTTCGACCATCACTCGACAGTAATTGGTTAAATGCGCATCTGGTCCGCAAAATTTGGTACTGTTTAATGTGTTTATTACACAGTACCGCCTGTATTCTAAAATATTCAATTGGATGCAATGTGCACCAGGAAATACCAGAGACTTAATACAGTTGAATTATAAGTCTGGAAATACCCATTCATCATGATTAATTCTCAAGAAATAATTTAATGTGATACTGAACATTAATATAAAAGACAAAACAAAATAAAACAAATAATGCGAACAAATAAAACATAATAACCCTCTCCCTCTAAAAATAAATCACATTTTAAAAAATATCTACCTGATACCTGGAGACACCTTGAACATTTAAATCCACAAAAATAAATTTACATCAACTCATCGGTCTACTGATGTTCGGTAGATAATTAAATTCACTAAAAGTAATTTACCTCCATCAGTACTTTTATCCATTGTCTGACCCATTGTCGTTACACTTAGAAGGATAAAGAAACTTGAATATGGTAATACTGGTATCTGTCTGTGTTTATAAATATCTGAACTAAGTCATAGTTATATTAGTTGCAAAACTTCAAAATCAGGTAAATCTTGATTTTTGTTTCCGTGTGTATTTATGTATATAATGATTTTGTCGTTTTAAATGTTATTAATAGTTATAACGTCACCAGTCAAAGTGCATTATCTACGATTAAGAAAAAAAAAGGAAATAAGATTTCTTTGTTTGTTCCAAACAATTTACAAAAGCCGAATTGTGAAATAATATTTCGCTATTAGCAGTCAGTTTGGTTCAATTTTGTCAAAATAAGCTAAAAAAAAAATAACCAATCGTTGATGTATTATTGGCTTGCAAGTAAATAATTCCACCTCATTTGTATTTGTATTAATGCGACCTTCAATTTTATCCTTAGCTGAAGATTGGTTACGCATTCTTCAGGTCATCTAGATGATAAGATGGCGTCTAGTCTAAAATTGACACGAAATGGATATATGCACTCTCCAATATTATAGACTAGATTAGAATTCATGACCAAAGTATTTGAGTTTTTTTTTTTATTTTGTATTTCTGATCATTTTGCTGTTTACAGTTTTCAATATATCTACAATAGATTATTTCAAAACGTAAAAAAATGAAAAAAAAACACCATTTAAGGTAGATTAACTGTATACCATCTTGGATTGTAAAATAGCAGGACACAATCGGTCTAGTTCTTTGCTTAAATCCGGAAATTTCGAGACAGATTGATAATTAATGTGTAGACGATTTAGACTGCCTTAACAAATACCAAGTATTTTTTTTTGATTTTTGTTTGAATCAATTTTTCAACTTAGCTATCTAAGAGGAGATAACTCTAATAGTAATTTTTTTATAAAGGAATGTTAATGGCATTTTTCTTGTTTTCCTTTTTTTACTTGTAGCAAAAAAAAACAAGTTTGGTGACACCATTTTTTTCTATTTATTTTCTTAAAGCATATTTCAAAACCTATCTTCTCGTATCTTATTTCAAAATTCTATCTCATAGATTTCTATTTATTCACAAAAAAAGTTTTTTTTTTCATGAATAATTTATAAAAAAATTTGCAATTTTGCTCGACTTGTAAGTTGAAAAATAGCACGGTGACCCATACCTTTTATTATATATTTGAAAAAAGCATGGTAAAATCTACAAATTTGCAAAGTAAAAGAAAATTCTGTTTGAGGGAATATATACCAATGATCCAAGTTAAGGGATACAGTTAAGTCTGCCTCATATCTTGACTTACATCTAGACATTGACATTGATGGTCGGTTGAAAACAAAACTTTACGACAAAAGAGATGATTTAAGCTTCCGAATTGTCAACTTTCCATTTCTATGACCGCCTCGGTGGTCTCGTGGTAGCGTGTTTGCTTCGAGTGCGGGAGGTCTTGGGTTCCAACCCCGGCCGGGTCAAACCAATCACTTTAAAATTGGCATTTGCTGCTTCTCCACTAAGCACGAGGTATTAAGGAGTAAGAGCAAAGACTGGTCGGCTCAAAATCAGAATAATGTGTCCGGGTAAGGTGATATGTCTGCAAACGAACTGTTACCTTGTGAACTAACACGTAAAAAAAAATCCGGCTCAGCGTGTTGGTCTAGTACAAAGCAGGGTGAATATTCTTATTACATTAACATGTTCTCGTCCTGAAAAAGAGAGGCGAAGGATACCATAGGAAAATGCAAACTCAGAAGTCGAAAAATAAACTGACAACGCCATGGCTAAAAAAAAAGACATACAGACAAACAACAGTACACAAAACAACATAGAAAACCAAAGCCTGAGCAACACGAACCCAATCCAAAAATAAAATGACAACGCCATAGCTAAAAAAAAAAGACAAAAAGACAAACAACAGTACACAAAACAACATAGAAAACCAAAGACTGAGCAACACGAACCCTTGTCACTTGTCTAGGTCCAATGATGGTAAATATAGGTATTAAATTTTAGAAATCAAACGATTATTTTATCATCATCAGAAATTGTATATAAGGTGGCCAAAAGTAGGTCATCCTTTGATGTTATGGCCATAGCATCAATCTTGATGTCCTCAAAGGACTGGGTTTTCAAACGAAGTGTCATTCCATTTGAAATTATAGAACTTTTTGGATTGTAAATCCCCTATCAAAAATGAACCGTCAGCTTTGCAAGCAAGTTCATCAGTTACAAAATTAGTTGTATACCGTTTTTTTCAACTTGAAAGTCGCTATTGAAAGTACTAGCTTACATTATGTCCCTAATTGTTTCTAGTAAAGTGCCATGAACTATATTGTTTGGAGTTGTTTCCCTAAACTACTAAACTATCTATTATACTTACTAGTACACTTGGTACAATAAAAAACCTGGTAATACATGTTTCAAATAGGGTAAACGCCAATAGTTGAATTAATTACTTTTGGAGTGTCAAAAAATCGTTGGAAGTACTTGATAAATTGCATGCTCATATTGGTGCTTTTGGATCTGTTCAAAGTTTGTTATTTCTACCCTATATACTACTTTGCCTAATAATCTCATTAAAAACAAATCCACTTCCCTAATCAAATGGGCATTTAAAAAGTCAGAATGTTAATATATATGAACAATCTCTTTTTTGTCATTTTTTAGTAACGGCAAACAAAAGAACTATGTCAATTAGACCAGCTTTGATATGATAACTGCATTTAAATTTTTACTAGATAAAATTTTTTTTCCCTAATGAGATTCCGTATATCGCCAAATTATCGGAGTTCTAATGGGAACTAGCAGAGCACCACTTATTGCGGACCTGTTTCTGTATTGTTACGAATCACACTTCATGTTTAAAATCAACAAAGACCCATCGAAACAACACCTGATACAAAAATTTGATAACACTTTTAGATATTTGGATGATATTTTGGCTCTCAATAATGTCGACTTCAGTATGTACACTAAAGAGATTTATCATGTTGAACTTACTTTAAATAAAAGTACACACTATCAATGAACACTGCCCTTTCCTGGATCTTGATATCTATATCTCTAACGGGAAGATTAATACTGACATTTACGATATAAGAGATGATTTTTCATTTCCTATTGTAAATTATCCGTTTTAAGATGGTGACGTTCTCTTGACACCATGGTGTTTATATATCTCAACTTGTTCGATCCGCTCGTGTATGTAACAACGTATTTGATTTAAACGAAAGAAAGCTCTATATTACTGAAAAAAATTGACACCAGGGCTTTCGATAACACAAACTTGATATTCTATACAAAGCACAAAAATGTTGTCATTCACCTCAAAAGCTAACCAAACCTTTAAACAGACTTTTTCACAACGGATATAGTTACGATACTATTGTCAAGTCATTAAGGTAGCACAATACAAAGATTTTATACCTCCTATTCCCCAGTTTTAGAATGCTGTAACTTTCTGTATAATGCTTGAAAATTTATAAAATTTAAGTATCTATGGATAGCTAACAGATAACTCTTTCAAATCAATGCAATGTTAGTATTATACAACAATTATGTAATTAATTATAATGTTAACTGTGTCTACAAAATTTTACAAGAAATTTCCACTTTCAATTGAAATTAGCTTCTTCATGGTTATCTCGAGAGGGTTGATTTTATTATATGTTGTTCCTAGAGCCATTATCTACAAAAGAATGTCTCAGATTTTGGATAGAATGTATAGATCAAATTTTACACCTAATCAAATATTATCTACTTTTATGTGGTAAGGATGTTTACACTAATTAGAGATTTATGAGAGAATGGAATATGATAGCGATAATTTGAGACATCCTTTTGTAGCTCCTGTTGTGTTGATTAAGATTTCGTTTAAATTTCCTGTATAGTTATAGAGATGAAAGAGCTAAATTCATTCAAGTGAACTGACCAAGATTTTGCCATTAATTGCATAATAATTGATTACATAATGATTGCATAACAAAAATATTGCCTTCATTTAAAAGAATAATCTTTTATCTATCTATATATACCTCTTTTATTAATTTATATGCAGTCTTAAGAAAGTAACAGCATTTTAAAGGTTGGAGATTGGAAGTAAAACAATCTTTGTATTGTGCTACCTTAAAGATGGCATATTTGGAATTAATATTAATTCACTCATAGGGTCTTTGCATTGGCAATAAACACATTTATTATAAAACCAGTTGTTGGCATGATACGAGTTATGTTCTTCTCGTGTAATTCATGATGGCATGATATTAAACCCCTAACGGGAGGGAATTGTGGTTGATTTTCATATGATGAAGACATAATCTTTCGATCAGTTTAATTGAGGTCTGGAGCTAGCATATCTGTAACTGCTAGTAGTCATTGTTATGTTCAGATAGTTCACTATTATGATTGCTTAGTCTTTAATTTTCTATGTCGTGTTTTGCATACAGTTGTTTGTCATTTGGTGTTGTTGTTTTTTTTTTTTTTTTGGCATTGCGTTGTCAGTTTATTTTCGACTTATGAGTTTGAATGTCCCTTTGGTATCTTACACCTCCATTTACAATATAGAGAATAATGAAAAAATTTTCTCCCAACTGTCAGAAGGTGTCATTATGCCATGAAGTGTTAATGAACGTCGTCCAGAGAGTAATTAAAAAACTTAGATTAGAAATGAAAAGACACTTTAAATATGTGAACATAACATGAAAAATTGAGAATTTTGGAATATAAGAGTGGAATTGCTCCTGTCCTCAAAACACGTGTCGGACGTCAAATTAATCTTACACTAAAGGGATATGCCGGGCTATGTGGACATCAGATTGAGGACAATATAAGAAATGCATAAAAACAGATGATATATATGTTTTTTTGGTCTAGCAACCTTACATATCGCATACTGATGCAAAGTGTAATTGAGTAATTGTAAAATCCAAATAAACTTACTTGAAATTTGTCTCTGATAGTTTTATAGGATGGAAATTTCAACATCATATACCTATCTCATTATGAGAAAAGAGGGGATGAGTTATTTAGGGTCAGCCAATGTTATAGTTTTATTGTTGAGTGCAGTGATTTAGACAAATCAACTGTCTTATCGTGAGAGTTGAGAAAATATTCCACGATATCGACAAATACTAAGATCTGTAAATTGAAGGTAAAATATTTT